CATCATGTCATGTCCATCACAGGGACTTGAGGAAGGCTGTCTGGCTAATCCCATCCCTGCCGGAGATGCTGTCAAGTCATTGTGGAGAAAAGCTTGTGTCCTTACTCAGATTTTGTTCACCACCTTAGAGTGTGACTGACGAGTATTCCAGAAATTTAGTATGTATGTCTCTAAACAACCTCAGATTTGGTGGGTTTGGACTCTAAAGGATCTCTGTCGTGCCTGGAGGTCTTTGAGGCACAGCTACTGATGGATGGGTTTCCAGCAGAGCATGAAACAAGCCACCAAGCCCAAACCAAGATAATGTTAAGAGCCAGTTGCCATTAGCTTTACTGGGAATGGTATTAGCTGGGGGTGTGGGGACCTTTTGAGAACTGTAGGGAAGTGAGCAGGGCGTAAGACTGGAGCCACATTTCATTTCTCTTCCATTGTTCACATCGCTCTTCCACAGCACTGGAAGAAATAAATTGCTCAGCTTCGATGTCACTGATGGAATAATTTGCCTCTGTTGGGTTTCCACCTATTCAGAGAGGGGATGAGGCTGGAACTGATGGCGGTCCATATGGCTTTTGCTCAGCACCACAGGATGCTGAATGTCAGCCTTAAACCCCATCAGCATCCTCTGTGATCAGCCCTGCGACTGTCAGATTAGGCTGCGGTGACACTACCACTCCTAATGGGTACCTGCGTGTCCTGCTTTTTAAACACAGAATGAGTTTAAAACACAGTAAATTAAGAAAGACGCTACTCAAGAAATTTCTTAAAATTTTTTTTAATTTATGAATAATCACTACACAGACAAAATGCTTTCAGGAGATACAGCTGGAAGAACGAGCAGCCCTCACTATACAGTCACAGCACTGTGGAAATGTAATATTTATTGTAATAAGAAATACCTGGCAATGGCAAGAGAGATTTGAATGCTAACTGTACAGCAAATATCATTCAGTGATATGTACCATGAGCAACTGCACCCAGAAAAGGAGGAAACTGACTTAATAGACATCTGGTCTAGATAAATGTGTCATGTCTGCTGTTGTAATTATATGCCAATGATATGATTTCACACGGCTTACAATCTCAGAAGCATACTGTTTCTAATTATAGTTACCCCCCAAAAAAGTCCTTACTGGCTTCTGCTGCTCAATTACTGTTTTTATCCAGACTCCCTCTCTCTCAGTAGGTAATTTTACGGCTACTGTTGCTTCTGGTACCTGAACATCGCTGGATTTATGCTCACTAATCCCTGCAAGGCCAGGAAAGAGTATAATTATTGCCGCAGTTCAGATGGAGAAAATCTTCACAACAGTGGTAAAGCTTCTAAATGTTCTTCTAAGAATAAGAGAAGAAAACTTCGGTGCCAAAAATCTTTAGTGGCTTGAGTCTGCCTCACGATTTTGCATAGCAACAAGTTTTTCGTTAGGTTTTAATGTCTCAGAGACCTCTCCCCATATGCAGCATAGAGTTACGTTCCTTTCAAAACCAGCCTCCAGAGATGGATGTGTGGCTGCCATAGCTTGCAAACATCTTCTCCCACCGCTTCACTCGCCAAAGAAATGTTTCTAATGGCTTGTCTGGGGTACTTTGTGTCTTCTCTTAATTAATCAAAGAGTTGTTATCTTTTCTGCACTTCACCTTGTCTAAAAAGAATTCCCCAAAACATCTGAGTTTTATTTCCAGGAATAAGCGCATTGTCTTATTGGGACCATGTGTTCATCAGAGCTTGCCCTTCGTCCTCTCTGACGTTCATATGAGAAACCATATTGATTCATTCCCAGAGCACTATCTTTGAAGATTTGTACTATTTTTATTAAACATAACTCTGGTATTTTCTCCCTTCTCCTCTCTCCCCTGTAGCCTCCAGCTACATCCAGCCTCGCTGAGTCAAAAAAAGGAATAAATGGAAAACATATTGAAAAGAGGTTTCTGTCCATATGGAGGAGGATTGACATCAATTTGCAAACTGGGAAGACTGTGTTATACCATCCAGTTTTGCCTTTGGTTACCCGTACACCTAAGATGCCTGTGCAGGCGAGTCAATGCCCGAACACTCAAGGAAAGGACGGACACTCCCAGTCCTACCCCCTCGCTAGAAAACCAGCTGTTGGCCAACCCCACAAATCTCCACCTTCAAATTTTTCCTTACTGTTGCCCTGCTTTGTGAAGGATTTGAGATTGCTTATGTCCCCAAAGTGCCTCTTGTGTGCTCATCACTTGTTTCCACCAGAGACCGACCGAGGCTGGTGCCCTCTGGACACCCTGGGAGACACTGGTGAGAAGACCGAAGCACCTTCAGGCTCACTGTCCTTCAGGGTGATGCCAAAGCATTGAGGGCCAAGCACCACCCCTCTCCCACCCGCCACCAGCCTGTTTCCCCCATCAAAGATAGCTTCCCAAGGGCAGATTTAGATGTCTAACACTTGCTTGAGGTCAGCTGGAGAGAAAAAAAAACTCCCCAACAGGTCCACTGTGTCAGGTTAAATCGTTGTAAGGTAATGAAGAAACCAGGCAGAGATTTTCTGGTCCTTGGCTGGGACAGGCGTCTGCTCCATTGTGGTAATGAACAATGCTGAGTAGAGGTGAGGGCACCTCAAAGTGAGCTAGAGTTCTTCTGATGTTAATGAAACTCAGTCCCAGCCTTGAACAGATCACAGTTGAACTGCAGCTGTGACTCAGAAAGTGATGTAAGAAAGCAGGGAAAGGAAAAAGAAGAAACTGTTCAGCCCTCAGCACAGTTTTGGTACTCCTGAGGGCTGCTTTTGCGCTGGAGTGGTTTGGAACAAGGCCCTGAAATCTATTTGAAATAGATAAAAATGCCTTGTAGTATCACTCCAGCACCACTTTCCATAACAAGTCAGTCCTGATTAGCGACGTGGATGTGGTGTTGAAATCTGAGCCTGAACTATGAAATTCACTCTATAACCTTTTTCTTATTCCCAATGCTCTTTTCTCATTCCCACAGTGAAAAAACATCCAAGCTCATCCTCATCTCCCCTCTGTCTTTGGAAATGAGCCTTAAACCTCACTTCAGAGTGAGAGACTGAGAACATTGAGGGATCTCTAAAGCCAACTATACCAGGGCCAAAGCCCAGTTTTCTTCTCACTGGGCCACAACTGCCCAAAATCATGGTGAATACCAATATGGCCATTTTAACAGTGAGGAACCCACCCCAAACCCCCTGGAACTGTAGAAGGGTGAGAACTCTTGGCTGCAAGAGTAGCAGAGTACTAAGAATCAGGCAGGACTGTGCCCATAGCTCATTAATAGGTCTAATCAAGACCGCCATTGAGTAAGAGGCAAGAATGACTAATCAGATGCTAACTTAGCTGATGCTGGCATTACTGAAAGCCTGGGGACATAGTCCAAGGATAAAAACATAACGTCTTATCTAACCAAGGAGTCATTGGTGCACCACCAGTTACAACACGTTCTTAAAAAAGGAAAGAAGGAAAAAAATATCTATAGCACATTAAATTATTTTATGTCCCAGAAATGATAAGAAAATAAAGCTAAGAGTTCGTGCACCCAATCTTTGTAGGGGAAAAGCCTATCTGGAGTTAACCCATTGCAATGTCCACTGTAAGTCCTCAGGATATGGAAAAATCCATTTAAAAAATAAAAGTAAATTGGGGATGAAATCAAAATGAGTATATCTAAGACATTTCAAAACTCAGTTTTGGCACATTTCTTGCTATTTGGGGATTGCTAGATGCATGGGTCCGCCCTGCTCCTCAGTTCAGTGAGAGTTCAGGCAGTCTGGCAATCCTCTTCTTTTGGCCAAGGCTCCTTTTCTGGCAACACATCTCCCTATTTCTCAAGACTCTTCTTTTCCTCCAGTTTCAACAGGATGTTGAACTGGATCTCGCAGAACAGCTCATGGAAAGGAAAGGCCCTCTGACACAAAACAACGTCACTGGAGAGGGAACTGTAATGTCAGGGAAGGTGTTTGGAAGGTGAAACCAGGAATAAACCAAGCACTTGAAGCTATATCGCTTTGCACGGCTGTGTTTTATTTCCAGTCTTTTGCAGTACAGCTCATGAGTCTTAACAAGGAAAGAACTATTCAGTAAATTAAAAAAAAAACAAAAAAACCCAACCCACAGTGTTGTGGGGAAAAACTGGAGTTGTATTTCCATAATATGGGCCTTTCCCAGAAAAGCCAGGCACAGGTCAGTGTGAAATGCAACACCACACATCTGCAAGGGAGTCTGCCCGGTTCCTTCCAGTCTTTTCCATCGTCACCATTTGCGATCGCTTGAAACCTTCTGCCCTAACAACTCAACCACAACCGAGCTCCTTCTCAGTAGGAGCTCGGGGAGATTGGGGCTGCCTGGGGTGTTGGGAGGGAGAAGATGCAGGTGACAGGGACAGTGGGTGCTGGGTAGAAGAAGTCACCTCCTCTCTGCCTACGGGGCAGGGTGAAACCATGCGGGTGGTTGTAATGAAGCCCCATGTTTCCCTTCCAGTAGGAACTCAAGGTGTGATCTGGTGTGCAGCACTGTTGGCGTCTCACGGCAACACCTCAGGTTCTCAATGCTGACTTATCTTGATGGTCTTCAGCCAGTGGTGACACTGACTCATTGCCTTCACCAGCTTCAAGTGACAGCATTTGGTCTTCTCCCAAAGGCCGGTAGCCGAGCAAGGTGACATCGGCACGGGTGTTATTTGACATGGCCGCTGCTTTGCCCTGGAAAAGCGGCGCATGTGCGCAAACGCCTCTCCACAGCCCTTTTCAAAATGTTTGCGTAGGAACAGCCATAAAGTGAGTTATATTGACCCAAAGATGCAATCCAAATCGTTTGAGTCTAGGCCTTATCTACATCATATTATCAGGACCAAGAGAGCACAGATGCACCCCGGGAAGGGAGGGGACTGCGTGCGCTAGAGGGAACGGCTTCGTCCCCTCTCTCCTGGCACGGGGAGGGGACTGCGGGCAGAGCTGGGTAATGATTTGTCATTGCACGGGCTGGGGTGTCTCTCTTTGCAGAGGAAATCTTGGCCGTGATTGACAGCAGGGCTGTTTTTTGCCGCTTCCATTGCTGTTGACAAGTAATAATGAAGCTTTGTCAGTCCATCATGGACATGGATATGCCAGATTACGTCGACTCCTTGGACTCCTCTTACACCATGCTGGAATTTGACAACCTTCGCGTGCTCCCAAATAACACCGGTGAGATTTCTGTTCGTTTCCTCTTGAATATGCTCCACTACCTTTGTTATAAAGCTGAACGCTTAGGAAAGACAGGTAGGAGGTGTGGGGCAAAGGGTGGAAGGGGTAATATTTAAGCAGCTGACCTGTCAACTTCTGTTGCACCTGCATTTATATTTGGGCTGAAACGGGACCCCTTCACTTGTCAGTCCTATTTTCAGTTATTCTTTTCCTTGGTGGGCTGAGCGTCATGTCCTGAGGAGCCTAGAAGGTATTGCCAATGTTGGTAGAGCTCTTCATGGCACGCCATAGGTTTGTCCCTCTATATGACTTAAGAGAGGAGTTATTACTGATATTTCTTCCTTAAAAATGTGTGTTTTGTTCCCATATGTGACTTAGGTTCATATTTAATCCTTGGAAAAAAATGCCGTCTCAAATGACATTTGTTTCTTACTCAGGCAATACACCATGTGCCAATTTAACTTGTTCCTAGGTACTCAGATTGAGAAGCAATATCTAAATCATTACTTGCCTTAAATTTTTTTCTGGCTACCAAGATGATATAAAAGCCCTTACAGCACACTAAAAACTTGATTGTGAGGCATGAGTTTTTATAGGCAAAGAATTCAGTTTTGTTTGCAGAAGTAAAGCTTATTGCATGATATTTAGGTTTTGAATAGACAAAAGTATTCTGATATAAAGTGAACCCTATTCTGCAAAATTGACTGTTCGCTGTGTGAAAAATAAAGGACACTTTAGTCATATAGAAGGAGACCAATTGTGTAACTGAATGGATTCCAATGTTAGCAATGCCTTTGGAGAGTTTTGGCAGCACTTCCTTTAATCTGTTTAGAGACTTAGTGAAATTAAGATGGGATTTTCAGGGTCTCACGTTTGCTCATTAGCTGTCTCATCAAAAGAAACCAGAGTTTCAGCAAAGCTATTATCTACAACAGAAAATGATTAGACATATTACTGTGGGACACGGAGGGATGTCAAGAGACAAGTAAAGTTAAAAGGTCCAAAGAAATTTGAATTGAAAATTGACTTCAAGAAAAGCCCTGTCTGTCCCCAAATAAAGGATTTTCAATTTTTTTTTTTTTTTGCCAGCTCCAGATAGACTGGATCTTATTTTTTATTCTTGCAGAAAGGTTTCCATCTGCCATCCTACTCCAGAAACATTATTTAACACAGATGTTTCCC